TATACAGGTAATGAAAAGATAAAATAAGAAAAAAGATAACTTCTCGTTCGTGTTATCTTTTCGCAGCGTCGAAATTTGGTCGTTCGAAGTTTTGACGATTTTGAAAACAAAAAGTGCAACTATAAAAAAAGCGATCTTATGCAAATTGTAGAGCTTTTCACGCTGCATCTTTTATTACATTATATAAAAAAAAAGTTCTTAGAAATTTTTCTATTAATATCGATAAGAAAATGTTGCGAACTTTTTTCCCATACCTTAATTTATAAAGAATATTTTTGATATATCTTACCTTGATAGTTCATCATCAGTCATAATTTTCCTATTCAATTCAATAGTTTTTATCAACGAAGTTATTTTCACCGGTTGTAAATGAAACTTATGTTTTTTACTTTACACAATATCTTAGGAGTCCTTGATAAGGCAATGCATGTTCGTATAACAGAACACACACAGCAAGAACAAAAAAAAGAATTTTTTGTTGTTATTTCTTCAGCTTACTAAAATGAGGTTTTTTTTTTCTTTACACGCATGTTTGCATGATAACAAAGAGTCATAATACCCGGTTACTATATCACCCACAACTATGTCAATTCAAACAAATTTATTATACTATAAAAATATCTAATGTCGATTATCGCTTAATTTTCATTTTTGAATACGATACAAAATTATTCTCTGAAAATTTCAATCGACGATGAATAGAAACTATCCAATCCTATTAAATCCAATATATAAAGATCCAACAGCTGAAGATATTTTTAATGAATTAAATATTCGTTATCGTGTTTGTTTTAAATTTGTTAAAAAAAAGTAATTTCTTTTTTGTTGAGATTGATGATTCAATGAGTTTATAAATGTTTGTCTTGGTTTTTACGTTAGTGATGAAGAAGAACATATTTGTGTATGTAATCGACCGGAAAAAGCTCACAACAACAATGATACAGAATTGCAAGATACGAAATGGGATATGTTTCGTAATACTTATGAAGAATTAAATCCTGTTCATGGTAGACTTCCAAATGGTGCATTGGTAAGATGAAAAATCTATTTAATTTATGAATTATTATTTATTCATATTCATTAGTTTACACAACTTGCTTTGGATACATCTGAAGGCAAAATCGAAAGAATTCTTCTTGATGTTTGGAAAATTCCCAAACCTCGATTAATTATGTCAATTATTGGAGGTGCAAAATATTTTATATTGAGTGATCGACTTGAAAAAAATTTTATTAATGGTATTATTGATGTTGCTCTTAAATCAGGTAAAATTTTGTCAATTTATTTTATTATAATTTAATTTAAATAGATGCATGGTTAATAACAAATGGATATAATGTTGGTATTGTTCAAGTTGTTGGACAAGCAATTAATAAAGTTAAATTAACAAAACCAAAACAATGTATAACAGCTATTGGAATTTGTAAATGGGGAAGTGTAAAAAATGTTGAAAAACTTACACAAGCTCAATATATGAAAAAACAGGTTAGATTTATATTTTTCATACATATGAATTTAATATACTTTTTAAACATTTTGTTTTTTTTTAAAGAAAATAATGGATAATTTTAATATTATTGATAATGATGAAAAATTAAAAAAACGTGAAAGTGGTCAACGTGATCTTGAAATGAATCATAGTCATTATCTTATGCTAGATGATGGAAGACTTCGATATTATGATACAGGAGATTATCGAACACGATTATGTGTTCATATGGCTAAATTACAACATGAAACTGATTTTCCTGGTAAGTATATTGATTTTATCATTTCAACAGAACCATTGAATTATATATTTAAACAAGGAAAAGCACATGCTGACAGTTTTTTGTAGAAGAATTCAAGTCAAAAAGCTATTTTGAAAATGATATAAAAAAACATGAAAATAAAAAAAAAGGTTATTGAGGTCGTATTAACCAAGAATTGAATCAAATGAAACATGATCTTGTATTCTATAGTTAAGTTGCCGAGACTATAAATTCATAATCTCGCACATCTCTATTCTGATAATCTATATTAAAAAAATAGTCAAGTATAAGATACATAAAACTGATTATTTAGAAAATTAAAAAAAAAAATTAATTTTTATGTTGAAAACAAGCATTCATACATGTTCATGTTCTATCTGAACTGTTAAAATAAGATCAATTTCGAATGAGACACTAAGTATATTGCATTCTATGTGAACATTAATGTATTGAATAAAAAATGAATTTGTATCTTGATGGTAGAGATCGTCGGGTCTGACCCGAACTCGAACCCAGCCGGGTCCGGGTCCAAAAATTTAATTTTTATCGGGTCTGGGTCTAAAGCAATTTTTGATGCATATGAGAATATTTTTCGAAGTTTTACTGATGTTCAGTTTTCTCTGAAGAGCTAATTGCTTTTGGTTGTTAGTGTTGAAAATAAATTATTTGTGTGCAATAGAACACGTTGCTTTGAACTCAGACACAGACGAAATCAGGTCCGGGTAAGGTTCGGGTCCAAAATTTTTCTTTTTACCGGGTGCGGGTTCAAAAATGTTGTATCCGACGGGCTCTACTTGATGATGAGAGTGAAGCCAAGAGAACAAATACATTCACATCCATGTTGTGAAACAAATTCTATTGACAATGTTATAAATATTTTAGTTTTCAGCTAAAATTTTAAGATATACTTGACACTATTTAATATTTGCTTGTAAGCAAAGTTTTACATTTTTTAATCGTCTGATATCTTTATATCTAGAAAATCATATGTTACTTAGAATGAGTTCTTGGTAAATTATTTAAAAGTAATTGAATACATATTTACCCACTATTGAGATCATAGTTAGAACTGAACTTTGTCAAAGTTTTCTCATATAAAAATTCGAAAGACTTTTATTGATTTAATTTTTCTTGTAATATTTAGTTCCTGTTGTTACTATTGTGGTAGAAGGTGGTCACGATACCATAACAAATATATACTATGATTTGCGAGCTAATATTCCTGTTATTATTATTGATGTAAGTAAAATGAATTTAACATGATAATATATAAAAATAAAAATTAGGGTAGCGGCCGTGTTGCTGATTTTTTCAAACATTGGTTATTATACACCAAAGAATTTGATAATCTTGGTAAAGACTTTGATGTTACATATGAACTTGGTGAAATAGATAAAGTAACACCGGTTGAAACTGTGACAAAATCATCGTCAAATCGAAATAGTGTCGATAATTCAAGATTAAAGTAAAATTTACTTTTATTTTGTTTTGTTTTTGAAAATTCAGTTATTTTATTCTTTCTAATAGTTGTACATATGTTCAATTACAGCTTGATAAATCTCGAAAAGCGTAAATAATTTTAAATAAATTATTTCATTTATATATTTATTTATTTTCTAAAGACTTCAAGAAATGTTTAGTAAATATGTTGAACAACTTGAAACAGATCTTAATGCAATAATAACACATGATGAAGATTCGAATAAGAAAAAAAGAAAAATACAATCATCAGATAATAAAAAAGATCGACGATCAAATAAATTAGATATAACACTCAGTCAAGTTATGTATTGTCTTCAACCAGCGGTTCGTTCTAATATATCCGTATTTAATTTAAATTCTGATAATGATTTATCGGAAACTATTTTTCGAAGTATTTGTAAATGTATGTTAAGTGTATTTTATTTTTTATTGATTTATATAAAAGAATTAATTTATTTAGCACGTCAAAAATATTTTAAACGAAAAGAAAATGATCAAAATGATGCAATTGATATGTATCAACGAAAATTTAAACCACCACCAAATTCACAAGATAAAAAACGTCAATCAAGTGCACGTCAAAATGTTAATAAAAAAGATCAAAATGCACAACGATCACAATTATTACTATTAGCTATGGATTGGAATTGTATTGATGTTGCAAAAGAATTAATTTTACAAAATTCATTAGATAATATTTTAGTACGAATGATTTGTATTTTTGTTTATTTTCATAGAATTATATCGAACATTGTTAGAATTCTTATCCATTAGAAATAGAAAAGTTTTGTTTTGAAAAATAGACAAAATCAAAATCTCAGTTATATGTTTAAGATTCACATTAATTTTAAACTAATTCATCATATAGAATTATCTAGGAAAAAAAAATTCAGTTTGATCGAACAAATTTAAAAGAAACATTAGAAGTGGAATTATATGCGTTTTTCGTGATGCCGTACTAGGAGTTGTACTCATTGAGATCAATTTCTATTTATTCGAAATTGTCTAAGAAGATCATGACTTCTAGATATATACAGCACTGGACAAAAATATAAGAACACTTTATTTTTGATTTTTTTCTACGATGCTAAATAGCTAGCTCAAATCCAAATAGTGATTCTGAAAGCCGATGAAGTTTCCTATTTATTGAACT